CGTGAGCAATTGGGAATTTATGGGAGTTATGTGGGAAAACAAAGATAGGATGGAACGGGGAGTTGGTCTACATGTATATATTTACATCATGCTTTATGTATCATCTCTATTACAGCCATAGTCATTTTAGATGTCACGGAACTCATGAACCTGGGCATATTATTTGATGGCGTCGAAATGCAATTAACATTGCTTTTCGTAGGACAAATATGCTTTCAAAAATGCAAAAATGTCCTAACAGCTTATTCCTTTGGTCCTCACAGCAGGCCAAAAATGGCGCGCCAGCTAACCTCTAAGTCCTAGTTCGAAAATAAGGCAAACTGGACTATTAAGCAGTTTAAGAACGTGAAACAATCAACTGAGGTAGTATGACGTAGCACACGACATGATAAAGTACAATATCCTTATTTAGACATTTGATCATGCCTCATCTATAGCTTCAGCTCTGCTGTAGTTCAGATGAGCATAGATGAGAACGCCAATGTCACGATGACCATTCTCAACAGCAATCGACAATGCTGTTGAACTATCCTAAAAACAAGTGAATGAATGGTTTGAATAGTTTGAATTATTGACTTATTAAATAATGTAATATTCGCCAAACATACGCAGTCCGTCAACGCAGCATCGATTCCTGGTTGGGCCAGGAGCAATTTAACGATATCCTTATGTCCATGTTCAGCAGCGCACATCAACGCCGTCGATCCTTCCTCATCCTGAAGAGCAATAAAACAGTGATCGTTCAATTTATTGATTGATTTAATCTATCCTACACCACCTACTTGTAAATTCACTTCTGCACCACATGCTAACAGTAACTCTGTAGTGTTCTTTTTCCCATGTGACACTGACAACATCAGAGCGGTTTGTCCATGTTGTGTAGCTCGAGCGTTAACGTCGCCCAATTCGAATAGCCTTAAGAGATTTTTTATGGGTCGGTTTCCAGGTGAATTCAGAATAACCAATTACCGTTGAACAACTGCCTTCTCAACGTCGTTGTCCAATGAGCTGAGCGCAGCCAGCATTACAGCCGAGTAACCAGCTCGATTTGCCAGGTTCAACTGACATTCGCCAGAATCAAGCAGTGACGAAACCACTCCGAAATTTCCGTGAGATACAGCGTAATGAAGCGCTGTGTTCCCCTAAAAATCGATA